ATTTTTAAAAATGGCGTCGGCGGCAATTTTGGATTTGGCCCCCTAGCAAAAAATGCCTGCATTTTTGGGAGGGGCCGGGTTTCTAAATTTTTTATAAAACGTTCATAGAAGTCAAATCAATCGTCAAAACATGTTAGCCAGAGAATGGTCACGGGATTGAGGTTCTGGACCCAACTAAGAGCATTCCATGAAAATGATCAACATTTCACATGGTCAAAAAGAAACCCTATTAAAATGGCGCTTCTTTCTGGCCACTGAGAATCTATTATCAATTTTTTCAGATTCGTATATATTCTCCCGAAGTGTAAATCGGATTATGTTCCCGTGAATGTTACTCTTAAGTTCTTAACACATCTTTTGAACAGCACGGAAAAGGATACTGGAAATTTAATAACGCATTACTCAAAGACCATGAATTTGTTAAACTAATAAAAAAAGAGATAATAAATATAAAATCCATTTATGCTGCCTCACCCTATAACCCAGAGTACATATTAACCTGTCCATGTAAAGATCTTCAACTCAATATCACGGATCAACTATTTTGGGAAACGCTATTAGTCTAGCTCAGAGGAAAAATCATTTCTTATGCCTCTCGTAAAAAACGGGAAAACCGTGAATTAGAAAAAGCATTGGAGCCAAAGATTAAAACGCTGGATGACCAAATAAATGCACACCCCAAGACTGCAAGAAACAACCTAGATATTTTAGAAAATTTAAATTTAGAATTAGAAGATATTCGGAACAACCACGTTGGGACTATGATTCGATCTAGAGCAAGATGGCATGAGCTAGTTGAAAAACCAACATCCTATTTTTGTAATCTGGAAAATAGAAACCACATAAATAAAACGATACTAGAACTAAAAAAAGATGATGGATCTTCAGTGATGAACCAAAACGGAATCCTACAAACAAAAACTTTTCTATGAAAAATTATATGCATGTAAAAATGACTATATCACTAACGCATGTTTTTTTCAAAAAGCTCAATATAGAGGATATACCAACACTATCAGAAAACGAAAAAACTAGTCTTGAAGGTCCAATCACATATAAAGAACTTCTAGAAGCCCTAAAAAGATCCCAAAATGATAAAAGCCTGGGTTTGGATGGATATACTCCCGAATTCTTTAAATTCTTTTGGTGCGACATTGGACAGTTTTTACTCCGTTCCATTAACTATGCCTATGCTAATAGCACAATGTTCATAACACAAAAGCAAGGTCTGATAACCTGCATACCTAAACCAGGTAAACCACGTAATCGTCTAAAAAACTGGCGTCCAATTTCTCTACTAAATCTGTCCTATAAACTTATGTCATCCTGCATAGCTGAAAGAATCCAGGCAGTTCTAGACTAGGCTAATAAATGAGGATCAAAAAGGCTTTATTCCAGGGAGATTTATTGGCGAAAATATTCGGCTATTGTATGACATCATTTTCAAGACCCAGATGCAAAGTACAGCAGGAATGTTATTACTAATTGATTTTGATAAAGCTTTTGACACAGTTTCCTGGGGTTTCATTAAAAAGGCCCTTGATGTTTTTAATTTTGGAGATTTATTTAAAAAAGTGATTCAACTGTTTCAAAGAGGTACAGAATCCGGCATCATACAAAATGGACACTTCAAGTTTCCTGAAACTAGGTAGAGGCTGCAGACAAGGGGGCCCCAATCTCTCCCTACATATTTGTCATGTGTGCTGAGCTTCTAGGGATTGCAGTTAGGAATAATAAGAGCATTAAAGGCATTGAACTGTGGGATAAAGTTTTTAAAATATCGCAATACGCAGATGATACTTCCTTCTTATTAGATGTTATTCCTTAGATGTTCGCAACTTGGATGGATTTACTGCATCAACAGGTGATGAGTGTGTTGTACACTGTTGTTTTGCCACTCCCGTCTGGTCCAGCTATGAAGTAACATCGACTGGAAGACGTATGTGCATCTTGAGAAAGTGAATCCAAATCTTGTAGCACTTAAGGTGCGCTGGTCTTCGTTGAGGTGCATTAACTGGGTATGGGCTTTTTCTGCTTCTGCTGCAATATCGACAGTTTCTGTGGGGAGATGTTCAATTTGGAGTAGGTCAACATCTGGTAGTCCTAATTTTCTCAAGCTTGTCCCATTTTGTTGCAGGGACGTGTTGATGTCTTGAAGAGCTAGTTGCGTTGCTATGTCGGTTGAATATTGGCGATGGGTGTAATCTTCAAGCATGGCATCCTGGTGTTTTTCCCAAAGTTGCAGGGGGTTGGTTGGATCACAATATATACAAATGGTGGTGAATAGGGATCGAAGCTGTTGTGGAATTTGGAGGAGAGTTGCTTCAGAGAGGGCTTTATTCCATTCGGTGTCATTGATGAGGAGGTGTCTACGTATACATGCTTCCTTGAATGTGTCGGAGACTTGGTTGTCAACTGTTCGTAGGTCTAAATATGAGGTGGGGCTTGGGACGTGGAGCAGGAGGAGACACAGACAATATCGTTCCATGTCTCTGGGGCTGACAGAATACATGCGGCCTATTGTTGTTTCAGCGCCACGTTGTCTTGGTTTCCATGTTTGGCTGGATTTGTTGTAGACGTAGTGATTTGGCAATTGATGATAGCAGAGGTCGGTGGGTTGCTGTGAGTTGAGTTTGAAGAATGCTGTTAGCATTGTGTCCTTGGTGGTGGAGACATCTGCTGCAGCAATGTGGTTTCCTGGAGTGAAATAAACGGGTTGTTGGCTGGGTAGATGGAGGGCAAGTCTGATGATGGCATGTGATTGGTGGTGTTGTTTGTACTCAGCCAATCTCCAATAAGCCTCTGGTGAGCTGATGTACCTGGCGTCAATGAAGGTGGAGACCTCATCGTGGTGGAGTTGACAGGATTCTGTGACTTGGATGTTGGTGCAGTCGTGGCCTTTGTAAACACTTGAATAAGTATTTTACACTCTTGATTGAAGTGCAGGCTTCTAGGTTGATATGTGCTTGGTACTTCTGTGATAAGTAGGGGTTGCACCGTACAACCCAGCGGTTATCTATTTGGCGTTGGATCCGTCGATTGCAAGTGCTGTTGTTTCTCGGAACTCCTTTGGATAGTCTTTTGTGCATTTGTCGTCGGCCATACATGGTGCACGTTTGCTGAGGATTCCACATGGACCGTGAACCATCGTTGTCTTTATGACTTGGAACAACTCGGGATGTTCTGTTAGATCAGGTATTTGTGCCGATATTATGGAATCGATGTCGCTTGGGTCTCGTAATTTGCTATGCTCTGCCAAGATGATGAGTAGATGACAGTGTGGGAGACCCCGCTTTTGGAACTCTATAACATAGATGTGGGTGATTGGTTTGCCGAGTACGTGTTTTTTTGTTATATCCGTCATGAGTTCACGTAGGTGCTGCTGGAACTCTCTGGCAACAATATCGGGTCGATCTTGTGCTTGTTGGCCAGGGAAGAGGGCTTTTTGAACATCTTGACACGTGGGATTGCAAGTGAGCGTAAGGAATAAGTCTGGTTTTCCATACTTAGCGACTATGGCCGTGGCATCTTGGTAGTTTTGTTGCATTGCGCGCGTTAATCCTTGAAAGGAAGACGGCAGGACGACGATTTTTCCGTGTTGAAGATTGTGCATTTCAGTTTTAGTGTTAATGTGGTCCATGAGGTCTTGATAAAGTTCAACACGTAGATCATTCTGCTTTGTTCGTATGTACTGCAATCTGTCGGCTTCCACACGAATATATGCGTCTACCACATATTGTTGGAAAAGCTTCCCACCATAGAAAATGGGAGACAATGATTCTTGAACTGAAAGGCAATGGGCGTAGTACTGCAGGCATGTTATGTTCTGTCTTTTTGCCGACCTGTGCTGTTGATCGTGTTGCATGTCGTACTGTCAAGCTAATTCTCTGAATTGATAGAAGATGGTTTAAACCATGGGGTCGATGTTGGATGACAGGTGACTAATTAGCTGGGGTGGTTGATCTTTGGGATGCACAACTATGTCCCTATTATGTGCAGGTGCGCCATCTGGTGATGAAAAGACAACTGCTATCTCATCTTGTCTCGGTTCATTATAGCGGTGTTGGTCACCGCCTCTCAATATGTGCATGGTTACAGATGGGGGTGGTGTACCATTCTGATCTGCTAGGCGAAGTTGTTCTGCCTCGACCTCTTGCATGTGTTTGTAGGCGGCGGCATATGGATTGGTTTGTTGGAGGACCCTTTGCAGGAGCGACATGACATCAGGAAGACATTGTTGATTGCCAGGTTGTTGCATCCTGGCTTGTAGTGCTTGCCCCGCGTCTAAAATGTAGAGTTGGCTGAAGGATGGTATACTACCTTGTGGAAGGTGAAGTGAGCCAGACCTGTGGTACACTTGTCCATGAAGTCTGAAGGCATAAGGGCCACGGCCTGGTGGGTACACAATGTTGGCACCGAAGGATGCAAACGCCATGGAGCTATTGTAATTGCGGATGTTGGCTCTGAAATTACGCGCTTGTGGAGTACTTGTTGTAAACAGGTCTTTGAGTTCAGTTGGATAAGGTGCCGATTGTGGTAATTGAACTTTGCCTTTGTGGCAGCAATTGTGGTTCTCCTTTGGGAACAGAAGTGCATTACAAAACGAACATGGTGTTGTAATTGTTCCTAACGAGAAAGGGTCGACTTGGGGCTGGCATCATCGGTCCAGGTACGGCACCATGTGTGTTGCAGCTTGTCCTCTAATGGCATTAGGTGGTCCATTTTACTGGAGGGCTAGTGGTGGTGTGCTACTATCTGCTGTTTTTGCGAGACGAAAGTGTAGTCGCTGGATAATTTCTGCTGCCAGACAACTGCGCCATAGCTGTGTGCTATGAGCGCCGTGAAATGGGTGCACAATTGTAGTGTTATTGTGTGTAAGAACAGGAATAAAATTAGAATAAAGGGATGTAGTTCACAACTGCCGCTTTACCGTATATTATTTACTCACTAAAAGCACGTACAAATCACACAGGGTAAAAATAAAGGTTGTGCGCTACACAGTAAATTTAGAAACAGACGAGGGTGAGAGCGAGAGCCTCGTGTCTCTCGTGCAGGCTGTTTTATACCCCCTCTTGCAAGATGAGCCGCGATGCCACTACCAACTATGCTTCTATCAATTACTACTGGCTACAAGGAAGGCATAGGGTCCGTTATTAGCGCCTATGGACAGTTCTAAGGTGATGACGGAATGAATAGCCAAGGGTCGTAGCTATCTTATTAGTCTATCGTTGGGTTAGGGGCAGATGGAGCTGCCACAATGGGTGAAGCTTTAGCTCCAAGTGATGCATTTATGTAGTGAACTAACTGTAAGCTAGATAATGTGTTATTGGACATTATCTCACCATTTTCCTCAACAAGGTTGCAAATATATTGTGATGCTTGTTTACTTATAAAAAAATTATGCAGACAGCAGGACGCTAGAATTAGGTCTTCAACAAAATTTGGTTCCAATTCAATTTGCGTCAGGAATACCATGAATCTACTAGAAAGAATGCCAAAGGCATTCTCAACGACTCTACGTGCACGACTACGTAATTAGACGATAACTAGAAATTATAAAAAATATAATTGACATTTTAATGAAAATAAATAAAATAGGAACCAATATGTTTTTGATATGTACAATAATTTAGCAAAATGATAGTTACACTTATTTTACAATTTACATACTCGTTTCAATGGCTCCACGATGGCCAACAGCATCTGCGGACTCCAACTCCTCCACTCCCAGGAACATATTGATTGGCAGCCCACTCTTCACAAAGCGGAGATGCACGATCTCCAGGTCTCTGTTACTAACATCAGTGGTCGAATCCACCAGGATGCTGATGTACCTGGCCTTCCTTGCTGGCTCCATTTTATCCTCCTCTAAAACTTGGTAGATGTAATTGGTGAATCTGTACAAGAAAAGAAATACAGCCAATTAATTTGTGTAAACATTCATAAAATTTTAACTAAATTAGAACCATTTGTTAAGACATTAACGTCATGTTCTTGGAAAGAAATTTATCTTTCTAAGTGATTAGTGAAGTCGCTTGGTAGGGATAAAATTAAATCATTAAGATTCATAAACATTATCTCGGACCAACCCAGCAATTGATGCAATCATGCAAAACAACTTTTTTCTTAACATTTTAAAGTGGAAAAAATAACTAAATAAAATGCTAATATTTACTGAAGATTCGCACACCCCCAATCCTTTCCACTACATGAAGACACGGTGTGCGCGCTGATGAAATAAGCAGGTTACATAGTCATAGAGCAGTAGTTTATGCAGAAGCCTGAGGAGTGGAGTGTGCAAATATTCAGTATTACCAATAAAATAATACAAAAATTATAAATCTACACTTGTCTTAGTTATGATCGTAAAATAATATAAACCATGTTGAAATAGATATTGATCGACAGAATATTAACATAAAAATTTGTATGAAATTTAGACATACCCTCCCGCATGCTTGGTCGCTGAAATACGTGGAACCAATATCCACACCATTTGTCTTCTGTAATCCAAGGATCCCGGTGTATGTTGTCAAGGGAAGTTCCTCTTTGGCGACAAAATACGCCGTGTAGAAGATCTTAATCATTCGCTCATACGTCTCCTCATCGAGCCGCTGGAGATGCTGGGGGATCGTAGCGGGACGGGCTGCACTGTCACGGTCGCGAAGCTGCTTGGCATTCTCTCACTCCCGATGGTGGTGGGACTTCTGGTGTTTTTGGAGTGACTGTTTTCGGAAGTTTTTACTTCCAATAAACAGTGCCCCTGACTGGTCAGCGATCGCTGGGAACTTCGTACAAACTAGGCAGAACATTGCAGTGTAGCCCTGGAATTCTGTAGTTACGTTATCTCATCGGTCGGTGATCGTAGCCATTCATACTCAAAGAGGTTGTGTAGATTATATATGATATAGACGTCGTTATTTGAATGCCTATATATTGCATTGCACATGAACCGCCACGTTCGCCCAATGCGGCCGCGCGTGTTGTCCGACCTCACGACCTGTCCCGCTTCGCCGGAGCTGGATTCCACGCTGCCGTGCACGTCGGTGCGTTAGCTGCGGGTTATGATATGTCCTTTATTACTTCTCTTATTACCCCCATGCTGCGTCGAGCACACCGACTCTGATCGTTATCTCCTCATATATTTCGCGCTGGCTTGTCGCCAACGCCACCCGTTTATTATTGCCTCTATCTAGCCGAAATTAATACATGCCGCTTATTACGACGTTGCATTGTCTCCCGTGCTTGTGGCGCAATAACAATTCTCGTCGCCACACCAGTCTCTTCATCATGCTCCAACCACTCGAACTCCTCCTTCCACTTCGCTTGGAATAACCTTTCCCTCTTCTCCTCGTAGACGCGTTGCGGATCAGCTTCACGTGTGGCTGTGGCGGCTGGCCGGCCGACCATGGGCTGGGCGGCTGCACGATCACGTACATGTCTAGGTCCAGCAGAACTGCTAGAAGACTGAGCGTGGGGCTCTTCTTTGACTGTATGAGCATGGGGCTTATCGTCAGTGACATCTTCGCTTCTTTTCCGCTTTGCTACGAATCCAAACGTAGATAATTTTTTCTAACTCATGACATTTGAAGCTTAAAATACTATGGAATATCATGGAATAAACAGCAGACGATACGAGCGTGATGGGATGCGAGGTGAAGGCCGAAGGGTGATGAAGAATTATTATGGGGGGTGATGAAGGGGGATGATGGGGGGGGGTAATGTATCGTGCGTAAGATAATATCATTAAATTGCTTAAGCCTAAAATTACCTTTAAATCACTCTTTCACAAGGCATGAAATAAAATAAAAAAATTTTCCCAAATATATCTTTTGAGATTTAAATCGATAAAAGGGGGAATTTTTTTATGTGCAAAAATTACCCCCTTGTGCAAATCGACTGTTCCAAAATATGTGACTGCACGTCGCATACTTTCGCACACGAACTTTCGAACGCTGGCAGTTTCGCATCCGAAACAGTGCACATGGATATATATGCATTATTTTGTACAGCCTGCATGCATGCAGCTAGAGCTAGAGCTCCAGCGCAGCTAGCTAATAATATACATGACATACAGTGCAGTAGAGTGTAGTGCAAATTGCGACCGACGCGGTGTGTGCTGATTTGTGTTCATTTGATCACGCTCGCTCTGCGAATTGCTTGCTCTCTTTTGAATGAGATTAGCACGTAAGAAACAATTATTTTTTATCACATAGACACTTTGAAATTTTAGTTATTTTAGCTATTAGTCAGTTCAGGTTGAACGGATTTTGCTCATTTTTGGTATGTGAATGAATAAGGGCTAGGGGTTTTGATATTAAAAAAAAAATTATGCAAAAAAACGCAGATAACAAACAGTCTGTGGTGTCACACTCGTCTGGTTCGTTTTACAAGATTTCATTTGACAATATCTTTAATGCAATATTGGTATTTCCTCTCCAGCCTGCCGATAAAATGTCTATATTAGAGTAAAGTTTTACAAAACATGTCGGAACGCAGCATAATCTATTTATTTCGAATGCCATTGCTACAAAGTGGGTATAGCGC